TATATATAAATATATAAAATATATATATATATATGTACAAGTGTATAATTGGTGTATACGGAATGAATTCCAATAACCAACAATTACTATTCTTAAAAGAGTGCTCAATACAAAGTAGAACGAATATAATTATTTATTTAAAAATTATGACATGAATGTTATAAAATCACTACAAAAATAGCCATTTTGTTTCAACACCTCCGGTGTCTTATCAAGTGATGATGTTGAATGTATATATATATATATATATATATATATATATATATATATATATATATATATATAATGAAAGAGAGATAAATTGGGTGTTTGCACTAGAAAGTATAGTGTTTTACCGAACGCGGTTAAATTTTCATCGAGGCTAAAAGAAAAAAAAATGTTAAGAGATTAAAACAGAAATAAAATTCGCAATTACAAAGCCGAAGCTAATAAAAACACTTTTTTTTTATTACTGACAAATCTAAAAGTGATCAAAGCATCAAAGAAAATGCGTATTACTGTTCTTTATTTACTCTTCAAGTGTGTTATGTGATATCCTTAATACAAAGGTTGGTACAATTATGACTCATGGGTCATCGAGTGCATTCTCGAAGCACAGCTGATAGGGCACAACAGCCGAGGCGTTCTCATTGCATATCTGAGATAGAAAAGATTAATCCGCTGATCAAACCCGTCCTCGATATTATTACACTTGGTATATCCATAGAATCTAGAGATTAATGATAATTTAACTCCGTGTAGACGTCTCCATCCTTTACTAATACATACTTACGTGTTTTTTTTTATTACATAAACCTTATTTTTAGTTGATAAACATAGATGAGTTGACGATCCGTTTATTTATGAAACAGTATATTTATTTTCGTCTATCGGCCTGGATATTCCAGAAATAAACTCCTTCTTCTGCAAGATACGCACTGGAGTCTTCTTAGGCAGAGAAAACCGCAGTTACAAAAAAATCCATTACTTTAGAAATTGCTTTGTTTACGTTTGGATAAGAAACTGAGCAGATATGAAAATTTCGAGAGTCTATGATGAGAAGAATTTCGCTTAAAGTCACTATTCAGCCTTTGCTTAATCGGCAAAATTTCAAAGAACACCGGATTTAACAACGGTTGTCTCTGCTGGTTGGATACCTCTGAGAAAGCGTATATATTTTTTTTAATTAGATCTCTCGAATATTCAGGCCGGTAGATGAAAGTAAATAAATATACTCTTTATTAAATAAACGGAGCGTCTACTCAAATATGGGCATCCACTAAAAATAATGTTTAAGTAATAAAATATATCAGATTAATAAATAATAATTTCTTCTTTAGAAATTATATGTGTAAAATTAAGATGAAATTAAAATGTAAAAAAGCAATACATACGTACACACAGTTGCCACCCAAAGCTACAGAACCCGGTCTCCCCGCCCAGCTATTTACCCATAGCTGGCGGGGAGAAAACGAATATTCAAGAAAGTGTACACAATATTTACATATAGTCTTTTGTATATTCCTGGTAAGACCGTTCCTGGAGAATGTGTTGACTGAGTCGCAATCGGGCAGAGTCTCTGGTTGAATCTCTTGATTCCTCCCTCTCTTCCCGGTACCAACCATATTTATATGGTCGGTACTCCACTATGCAAATTAGGTGGATCCTACCACAACAGTACCTTTCCCAAAGATATTAGCACGTAAGCGAATGTAATGGATTCGACTGGAATTAGAACTCGGCTGCCCGATTCCTCAGTCCAAGCCGCTATCCATTACTCCATTTTGCCTCCGTCGTTTAGTCCTTTCAAAACTTATTCTTTTACTGTCACATATGGATAATAATTCTGGTTCCCAAGAACAAAATAAAAATACTTATGACATATCCTTACATACCTACCACGAACAGAAAGAAATATGTTGCGTTTCTTCCAGCTAATCCTGAGCTACATAAATAACTCGATAAAATCAACAAAAAACGAGCGAATCATTTTCCAGTCTGTCTATTGTCGTGAAGTTTTAGAGAAAATAGAAACAAAAAAACGACATTTTAATTATACTTAATATAAAAAAAAGAAACAGTTAAAACTTACAGACTACATAATGAGGAAAGAGGGCTTGGAAAATTTGATGCTCACAGGACATAATGACGGCAAGAGGGGCAGAGGAAAACAATGATTAACATACCTGACGAGCTTCAGTGAATAAATAGCGGGGCAAGATTTCGAAAAAGACAAAATTTATTGAGAGATACAAAAGACATAAAATTTGTGGCGAGCCATGATCGCCAACGTCTTGAATTGACACGGCCCATGAAAGAAGATTGTCTGGAAAAATAAGGCCTCAAAGAATTCACGAAGCAGCATCGAATAAATCTAATCACTGAAGTGTTGACACGTTCTTACAAATGCAGGTGGTCGATTGCATAGGAACGTATTTTCTTTTTCAGCGATTTTCATCAGGAGGAAATTTTAAAAGAAATCGATTGTTATTTTGAAAAAAAAAGTAGAAAGAAATGAAAGATGCAAGAAAAGAAAAAAAAAGTACTTACTAACTTGTTTATGACGAAGATAATACAAAATAATTTTCAATTTCCGATAATAACGCGTAACTTGATTACCGAAATATTCGCTATAGAAAAATTGATTAAAAAATTCAATTTGCCCACCACGAACTCAAAAGCCCATAAACAGCTTACCAACAAAATTATTAGATAAAAGTTCAAATGCTTCGTATAACGACTGTGATTTGCTTCCGAACTTACATTGTTTTCGTTTTTAAAAAGCTAATTTTCATAACTGTTTTATTTCTTAATCGAGTTAAAGCTGTGAGGATGAAATATAAGGTATGGATAGGAGGAAATGTTAGTGACATAAATTTAAATTCAGACGCCAATTGTCTTATATATAATTATGTTATGTGGCGTAATGGCGGAGCGGTTATCAGCGCTGGAAAATTATGTCATAAAATGGTGAGGAGCGTCCGCTAAATAATAACACGAGAGTTGAATCTTTCATATTTGACGCTACACATGATACAACTCCTGACTCCGTCGGTTACTCTCGACTAGTCGGGGTGTGAATCTCTCCACAGATCCCTGAGCCGATCCCAGAATCTTGATATTTATTCTCTAACATACAGAATTGTGGCAATCGATCCGTGAATCTTAAATTCACTTTCTACGGTGTATGTCTGGGTCGGTTATTTTCTCTATCCATCCGTTCAACATTCTCGATATCACGTTTGCAACATCGGATGAGAGCTGTATGGTCACGTACTTCTGCGTTTGGTGGCTTGGTTTCAACCTAATTCAACTCTTTACCTGGCTTGCGTCGACGGTCTAATGTGAAATTTTAACGCAATATCAGTTCCAGTATATTACCACTGTGGGATCGGTGTGCCGAGTTCAGAGACTAGATCGTTGTGTTCCCTTTCGTACAAATAGCCTTGGGTAAGGTACAACTTTATATCTTCTCTTTACGGGTTAAATAGCAGGGAAGACTGGACACTAGTCCTGGTTGACAACAAGTCTAGAAGATGGAAAGCATTGAATTCAAAACCTACGAGTGTGTTCGAACTGGCAGAACGGCTTACTCTCACAGGCTTGTGTGCTGTCGATATAAAATGCCAAATGCTGTTACTAGTAGAGCCAACCCTGCACTCGACGGAAAAGTCAGTCCACGTGATTTCGTCGCTGGTAAAGTAGTTTCGATTATCGCACCATTTACTCCTATCTCAGTCATGCATTGACGTTGGTCCCGAAAACGACCTCCAATCTGTAGTTGTCTAGGACAGGAAATCGCTTGTGAATTTTGAAGCATCCAAAATGAAACTGCTATCATTTACTCACCATAGAGAAACATCCCTACCTCTTATCAGTATGGTTGATGCTCAACGCCACGAGATCCTCTCACTACGCCTTCTCACATTCTCCACTGACCTGATGTAGAACCACTGTATTGAATTAGTTGGTTCTCTGCGTCGTGCCAGAATTATTTTTTTTTTATCGTCTGTGTCATTCCTTGACATTTACAAATCTACCGTTCGTCCATGCATGGAATACTGTCACCATATATGGTCTGGTACCCCCGCTGATCCCTCGCGTGTTTCTCGACAAAATCCAAAGACGGATATGCAATGTGATCGGTCCTGACTTGGGGTCTCGATTCCATTCTGATCGACGTAATGACGCCTCCCTCTGTTTTTTTCGAAAATATTTTCATGGCATCTGCTCTCACGAGTTATTTTTACTGGTTCCCAGATTGCAGGAATTTAAGCGTGCTAGTAGGTTGGCATCTCGATCCCACCCTGTTGTCGAAACAGTTCATGTTATCGCCACTTCTGCTCTAACAGCTTCTTCTCTCGCACTTCCCAACAGTGAATCTCCCTTCCTCTTACTTGCTTCCCTGATAACTATAATCTTCAAAAATGTAAATGTAATGTCAGTCGACATGTTCTGATGCCTTGATCCACTATCATCTTTTTATCCTCCTCCGTTCTTCTTTTTATCCTTTCCTCAACTCCCCCTAAACTCAGTCTTTTCCATTACTTACACTCTCTGTAGACCCTTGCGAAATAGTAGCACTCCCGCCTTGCTTGTGATGAATTGCATGAAAAAAGCACTTCGGAGAGCAGATTAAATACACCTGTTGATATTTTTGGAAAATCAATATAATTTGTACTCTCTGATGTCTGACGAACAATCTTGGGGCCTGATAATGCAAAATTAAACTCAGTGGAACCAGGGCAAGCAATAACTGTGTAGTCCTAAATACGAACATTATGACCATGAAATGGCAAACAAGGAAATAGCTAACAGAACAAGAAAAATGTAACCCGTATTTAAACTGAATGTTTCAGTTTCAGATTTCGTGAAATTTATCTGGAACGACACCTGAAGACGGGCGGATGATACAACGGCCGAAACGTTGTGATAATGACAACAAAGATGAGGATATTAGACCGAATGTAAATACTGTAAATAAAGGAAATCTCACATCACATAAATTCAGAGACTCGACTTACGGACATATCACATTGAAACACCGGTTGTCGTACGATCACTGAAGTTAAGCAACGTTGAGCCTGGTCAGTACCTAGAGGGATGACTGCTTGGGAATAAAGGTTGCTGCAAGCTTGGATGTGCGGATGGTTTAATGGATAACGACTCGGAATTGTTAACCGGGGACCAGAGTTCCAATTCCACTTCGCTTTCTTTATATTCACTTACAGGAAAATACCCTTGGGAAAGGTATAAATCTACCACTTTTCTTCACAGCTATGGGTTAAAATGTAGCACTTGTATCAGTAAATCATTATTATCTCCAAAACGTTCTTACAATATTAAAACATGTTCTGGCTTTAAACTTAATAAGACGTAAAAAAAATCAATTAGGTTTACAATTAGGGAAATTTCCTTGGGAAATGTATGAATCCACCTCGTCCCCTCCAGCTATGGGTTAATTAATTCGAATTGTATCAGTAAGTTATTATTATCTCAAAACACTTCTTACAAATAGACCTATTTTATGGCTTCACATAAGCTGCAAGATGTTCAATCAATCATTAAAGAGATTCATTTCCATATCAGATTAAATTGTCGGCACGTTATGCTTTTTCTATACCCACGCTTTAAAATCATGAGGCTCTCATTCAGGAGAACATCTGAACTTATACTTGATTTACTTCCTAGCATATTTTTTCGGGGGTTTATACAAAACTAAGTCAAAGTCTATTAGTTTTCTTTTCCAGTGATTTTCAACCTGACAAATCCCTGGAGACAATCGAGTTAAAGAATAAGACGCATAGTTCATGTATATATGTGGGGAACATAACGGTTACCCCTGGACTTAAACAGCTTAAGATTATCGCGATCGGGAAATCAACATCTTGGGAGTTAGGCCGAGGTTTATTCATCTATTTTTTGTGACGAAATGAGAAGGAAAAAAACGAAACAAAAAAAGATTTAAGCAAAGCATAAACATTTGAATTACACCAGGAATGTTGCTTGTAAATTTATTCAACCCGATAATTGTTGCTTATTTAATCGTAGATATTTGCTGAAACGCTGTAGGATACTTTTAAATAGATCGTAAAAACTGTAAAAATGTGTAAGATGTGTTATAGTGAAGAGCTTAATTTAAAAGATATTTTTTCTTTAATTTGTTTTCTGTTATCTTATTCAAACATGTATTGATTAAGAATTCTTTACATGAATAAAATTACAACTGAAAAATAAAACCTAAGCAAATTACTGTATCATTTGCGCGTATATATTATGAAGTAAATGTCTTTCCATGAATAGACAGTTCTTGATAATTATACTATCTTTTTTAATTATTTGAGTTGAATACTGAAGCTTTTCAATGCGTCATTGATGCACTGACTCAAGTCCGATTTTGAGAGGACGTTGCCCTTCAAGAGGTTGTTATGTAGAGATCATTTCAAATGTTAACATTCTCCGAAATTGGAATTAGCACTCTGAAAACTCTTCAGCACCTTCAGGTTTCAACTCGGATAATTCATCCACTATTTGTGACGTTCCATATTAGCGTTACTCAGATGATCCATTTTGTCAGCTCCATGCAGTGTTTTGCATGTTAAGAAAAAAAATGCACGTCGTAGAATTTATCGGCTTAATTGAAATGGTATCAAAGACAACAAAATCAATATTAACAATTCTAAAATGAACCACCTGGACATATTATTTATTTACGAAATAGTCAAATTTCTTATGTTTATATAAAATTTTCCGAAAGGTGAGCTGAACAAGGCCGGAAAAATTGTCAACGATTTCATTTAGATACAAACAAATCCAACGATTGAAAGGAAAAGTCAAATTATACTGAGGCAAATAGATGTTTATGAAGAAAAATAAATTTGGCTAAATAATATCAATTACAGTGTAACCCGGATATAAGAGAGTTGTCGGGACCGGAGAAGAAGTCTCTTATATCCGGGTTTCTGTTATATCCGGGTTTCTGTTATATCCGGGTTTGGTCTATTTTATATACATTAACACAGGCTCTAATTTGGGACCAGAGAAAATCTCTCTTATATCCGGGTTTCTCTTATGTCAGGGTCTCTTATATCCGGGTCTCTTATATCCGGGTCTCTTATATCCGGGTTACACTGTATGTCAATTTCTTTAATTTTCAAACTTGATTCATTGTTATATTGGCTGATTGTTTCTTTTTTATGTATCATCAAACATTTTTGTGTTATTTAAATCTGAGAAACAATTTGAATTAAATATTTTTGTTTTTTTATGCAAGTGAATATAGCATTAGCAATTTTTTAAATCATTGTTATAATCGTTTTTTTTTTCAGTTCGGAGTTCTACTATTTAATCCATAGCTGTTGAAGGCAATAGATTTATATGTTTTCCGAGGGTATTTTCGCATAAGTGAATGCGATGAACGCAACCGGAATTCGAATTTCTCATTTCCAGCTGCTATCCATGATAAATTGACGACCATATTGATGATATCATCTTATTAATTCCTCTCTATCGGTTTCACTCAGGAATGTGTCAAGATGGTCGTCCCAAGTGAATAACAAATAAATATAAAATATAAGAATACCAATTGGATGTTTTAGAAAACAGTCTATGTTACATGAGTAAAGAGTGACCTTTTATAAATTGTGATAGTTTCGGCATTGATTAAATGTATCCTGAAAATAATAGATATATGTTTTACAGTGCAGAAAATTGTAAAAGTTCATTATCTGACACATGTACGCAAATTTCCAGAAATTTACAGATTAACTAAAAAAGTATAATAATATAAACAGCTGCTTACCGATTAAATCACGGAGATTAATTGTATACTGTTATTTGTTGGAAACAAAGAACAGATTATGAATTAAATGGGAAAGGAAGAATGTAGGTATATGACTAAGTCTGAATGGTCTGCTGATTGAAAAGGGAACTTGGATGCGTGAGGCGAGTCCAAATCTCGTCGAAGGTTTACTTTTTTCCCTCATCTATGCTATTTACATAACTGCATTGGGATAGAACACGAATTCAGTAAATACACAAAAACAGAATGGAGAGTAAGACAAGGATGTATCTTCTCACCAGACTTATTAAAACATTATAAGACGATTCTGAGAGAATTAGAAATCCTACCAGAATTCACTATCGGCGGACTCAATATTTACAATATAAGATATGCAGATGTCATGGCGTTCATAGCAGACAAAAACAGGAAACGACAGACACTTTTGAAAAATTTAGTAAAGGAAAGTGAGAAAATGCACTAACCATAATTTCTAAGAAAACAGATAGTATTTATGTCAGGAAAAATAACAACGCAAGATGTGACCTACGTATTGAAGACTCGCAATTCAAGCAAGTACTAAAATTTAAATATCTATGAAGTGTTTTAAGAGACCACGGAAAATGTGACACTGAAATCCAAAGTTGCATTAGGATAGCGAATGATGCCTTCCAAAAGTTAAACATAATATTTAGAAACTATAAAATGTCTTTATAAACAAAGAAAAGAGTACGATTATGTATATCGGCCCACGTGTACTGAAAATGAATGCTTTACAGATGCAGACGACACTTGAAGTAACAGAATGATGCTTCTACAAAATGATACTGAAAACACCATGGGAGTAACGTTGATGTTTTAAAGGGAATGAAAATAAGAAGGACACCTATACTGAGAATAATAAAGTTGAAATTTTTAAGGTGGATAACGAGGAAAGACAGATTAGAAAATCTAACACTCACAGGACACATTGAAGTCAAGAGGGACAGAGGTAAGCAACACATAAAGTACCTAACGTGCTTGTGTAAATGGTTAGCAGAACAGTTTAGAAGATATAGAAGAAAAAACAAAGACTAACATTGTTAAGAGTTACAAAGGGGAGGAAGATGTGGTGAGACATGATCGCCCACACCCAGAAAGGATAAGGCACAAAGAAGAAGAAGAATATAAATTTTCACAATTTTTCACATAGTTGTCTGTTTTTAACTTCACCCCAGTTATTCGTTACGTTTTACAAAACAGAACCCCCTTCGATAAGTAGACGCCATTGCCACCTGTTCTCAACTTGATGACTCGCACAGTCGATACTCTATTTGTATAGCTTGATCATATCTCAAGTGACTGGTTGGTGTTTGATCCGTCCTTGCTTAGTCGTTAAAAACTGACAGGTGCCATATTCGAGTGAAAGAAATCGTTCGCTATTTAGGATGTATTTCGTTTGGCACAGAAATGTTTTTTTTATATATTTATTTCATGCCTGATCAATTATAAAATACTTTTGCCAAACCAGTGCTTATGCACATGCTTACATCCCAAATCCAGACATTAGGTATTATTACTTATTTGAGAAGCAAATTGCTTCATCTTACGGCAAGTTGTCATAAATGCTAATGTCTCGGGCTCTTTGCAAAGAGCTAACCGCGCACGACATAGACACTCTTTCATCTACACGTATATTTTAAATATCAATATGAAATTATTTTGATGAATGGAAGTAATTAGTTATTAATTGGCTGTTTAAGTAAACATTGATATAATAGGCAGAATTTATTATACAATTATATCACGTTTTATTCTTTCTAAAATCTGGCCGCATATGTAGACGCTTGACGGAGTAGTTAGTATCTGTCTATATTCCTGAGATGAGGTATTATGTACATTATTTACATTATTCGGACTATTGTCCTCATTTTTGTCGCCATATTTATTACAACGTTTCGGCTGTTGTACGCTCCGACCTTCTTCAGGTGATTGGAATATTGAACTTAACCCTTTATTTCACTCACTGAGGTAGACTGTTCTAGTTCCACGTGCCATGTTTAATGGATGTCAGTTATCAGTTATCTCTTATTAATTTCCCTGTTAAGTTCTCGCATTGAACTCGCACTCTTTATTATTGAACTCGCACTCTTTGGGTTCTGTCACTGGAACTAACCAACGCCTTTATTGAGTGTGCCATGTGTCCTTGAGGAGTGGTGAGAACGTTGGCTTTCTAACCATAAGACCAGTATGCAAATATCGTCTTGTTTGACTTGAGAGTAATGTAATTTCTTGACGCTTTCAATCTAGAAAGGTAATTCCAGCATGTCTGAAAACCATACTATGGATTGATCCAAGACTTCTTCGTGAAAATG